AATCGCATTGCGATTTTCATTTCGCGTTGCGATTTTGTCGTTGCGATTTCATTTCGCATTGCAATTTTGTCGTTGCGATTTTCATTTCGCATTGCGATAGCCATTTCCGCGTTGCGATAGTCATTTTCGTGTTGCGAAAGTAAACTATTCTTCTTCTGCAAATTGAAACTTGAATGGATTGCATTACTTCAACAAAAAAACAAAAACAAAACCAAAAACAAATACTAACAAAAACAGTTTAGCAGTATTGGCAGCAACCGAATGAATTACGAGTATGAAAAATCTTAAACTTACCTCGTTGCGTAGAGTATGAACCTCATTCTGCAACGATGCTACCATCTCACGTAGAGCGGCTACCTCACTGCGTAATGTAGACACCTCAACACGCCATGCACCATCGTCTTTGCGTAAAGTACCGACCTCCTCACGCAAGGCATTGACCTCATCACGTAACTCCCCTAACTCATCCCGTTGAGGTGGAGAACAGGGAGATAAACGTCGTGGCATCTTTGCCGGTCGCCTATCTTGCGGTGATGGTGGAGAAGAGGCTCGATGATGTGACAGAATAGGTGATGGCTGTCGTTGTGGAGGTGTATAGCCGGGTCGATTAGATGATGGCTCTGGGTGAGGTGATAGCTCTGGGCGAGGTGATGGCTCCCGAAGTGGAGGCTGCTCATCAACCGTTCCATCAAAAAAACGCTTACTAGCTTACCACCAATCAGTGGCAAGCTCAGCTTCCGTGGGTGTCAGCCTCTGTAGAGGAGTGTTGGCCTCCTAACAATATAAAAGCTCAAACAAAGTTAAACGTGTACTATTAATAACTTGTTTATAAACATATGGTAGTATTTATGTTAACTTACATTATTTATTGTCGTATACCGTAGTAAATCTTCCCATTGCAAGGTCCGTTTCCTTTTCCAGGAAATAGCCCTGGGAATATCATTTGAAGTTTTTATTGCATATGTCTTCATGGCGGGAAAGGCCTCAAATATCCAAATCTACAAACAATATAATAACAAACATTAGTAATTGTTAAATAATTACTTATAATTTTGGAAACATCATATAAAAATTCTTACCTTAAAGGCCCAAATAAAGCCTGTCAAAGTGTATTTGGAACCATCGCCATGCAAACTTTTTCGATCATCCAAGGCAGACGATAACTTATTCCATGTAGCTTTCTATAAATACGAGCCCCACGGAAACAGGTTCCACGCATTTAGGTCTTCTACCAATTTGATTAGATCATTTGGAATAGGTTATCTGGCCTCTCTGCCTAAAAAGCCGGCATGCAAAAGAATTAGAAGGCATACTCGGACAACGTCGACGTCATCCATCCGAGTAAAACCGTCTTTATTATTCAACAATCTTGTCAGGTCTTCTACGTGTAGACTCGGCCTCTCCAGCTCAGGAAAAACCCGGGATAGCCATGATGGGCGGGTAATGTGTCTAGTGTACCGACCTACATCATCGTGTCCGAAGCGTAGACCGGTGATTAAGCAAAACTCCTCCCGCCCAAAACACGTATACGCCGGTGGAAAATCAAACCATATCTCTTCATCACGACGTTGTATAGTCTCTGGTAGATCACTAGTCATGGTTTGAAGAAACAGGTGTGTCAACATCGCATCTCCACTGGGATGTTGTACTTTCAGCCATGGCCCAAAGCATGTATCCTCAAACATTTTTCTTTGTGCAGGTGAAAGCTTCGACGCAATTGTTTTGGCCAGGCTGACTTTATTTCTCAAGGTCAATTGAGCCGAATAAAAGTTCTACAAAAACAATAAACATACTAAATTAGATATACCAAAAACTACACTGTGAAGATATACCAAAAACAATAATAAACATAAAGAGTAGTAGTTTATTCTTCAAACTTAAATTTGCAACACTGTGAATTTCGTATTTGTCTTTGTTTTTTGGTTGAAGTAATGCAATTCATTCAAGTTTCAATTTGCAGAAGAAGAATAGTTTCTGAAAATGAAAATCGCAACACGAAAATGACTATCGCAACGCGAATTTGACTATCGCAACGAGAAAATCGCAACGCGAAACTAAAATCGCGTTGCGATTTTTGGTTGATTTAATAAGCAATCTAAGTGAAATGGTTAATCTATTATTGAAATTACCAGTAAACTTATCATCAATTTCAATATGAAAAACCTAATAATAATGCAAAAATTTCAAAAAGAAAATAATTAAAAAAACTAACCCTCGTTGGTTGATTTGGTTGATTTTCCATTTCTGATTGTGAGGGTGGCTCTGAGAGATGGAGATAGACGGATTTCACCGGAGATGGGGACGGATTTCGTCGGAGATGGGTGAGAGAGTGAGAGATGGAGATGGGACTGAGTTGTGATTTTAGGTTTTAGGTTATGAGTTGCGATTACGGGATATACTGTGGACGGTTCAGTGTTCCAATATATTAATATTCGTGTTTGGAATTTAAAAATAAAATACTTGGCCAGGATACTAATGGCGCTTTGAAAATCGCATTGCGATTATGTATTATCGCGTTGCGAAAGTCAGAATCGCGTTGCGAAAGTCAGTATCGCGTTGCGAAAGTCAGTATCGCGTTGCGAAAGTAAGTATCTCGTTTCGATTTTGTATTATCGCATTGCGATAGTCAGTATCGCATTGCGATTTTCCCAATTCGCGTTGCGATTTACTTATTCGCATTGCGATTTTCCCAATTCGCGTTGCGATTTACTTATTCGCATTGCGAATTGGGAAAATCGCAACGACACTGTAGACCATCGCAACGCGATTTTCAACTATCGCATTGCGAAAATGCAACGCGAATTTGCGATAATGGAGATTGCGTTGCGAATTAGCGATCGCATTGCGATTTTGTTGGTCATTTTGGCAAATCCGGAAAAAGTTGGTTAAAATCGTATATTATATGGGATTTTTGGTTACTGAGGTTATTTTCTCGAATAAAGGTAACTCTTCCACATAGTCACATAATTAGCTAATGAAACTTAAAAACAAAATCAATTACTTACATCGGCGTGCAGATCAACGGGGAACAAATTTATAGCATTTGCATTTAAATTGAATCCGCTGAAAAGGAAACGGGGCAGAGCACGGACAGGCGATCAGAGATAAGCGATAATCATATGCAGGGTATAATCTTAAAAGTAAAACATTATCTAAAGTGAGTCCCATTTGGTGTTGGAGGCGAGGAAGGTTTGGCGCGGTGAAGGCTACGACCGCGTTCAACGGTGGCAGCCTGCTGTAGCTTTGTGGGTAAACTGTAAACGACGGCAACCAGAAAAAATAGAAGATGAAAAACCGGCTGGGGTAGGGCTTTAGGAGATAAAAAATTGAAACTTTGCGGTGTTTTCCATTAAAATCGCCACTAATGTGTTACCAATTGCTGCATTTGATAACAAATGTCACTACACGTGAATCCTGTTGCGGCGTTTTTAATTAAAAGCGCCACAAATGTTATGAGAAATTACGGCATTAAATGAAAAGGCCACTATATATAAGTTTATTGCGGCATTTGTTTCAAAAACGCCACTACAATACGAGTCTTTTACGGCATTTTTTGACGTATTCATTGTAAACGCCGCAATATGTATAAAATTAGTTGTGTTTGCTCTCAAAAAGCCGCTACAAACCTATTTTGTTGTAATTATTTTGTTTACTGGTCATGTTCCCAAGCATAGACATCATTATGCGGATGGTTATTTTGGACAGATTGCCTATCAAGGATAGGAACTTGAAGATGAGATTAAATGTAGATGATAAATGTATTGTCCGTGACAGTGAGACAGAGATCAGAGATCATTTGTTATTTAATTATACTTTTACGAGATAACTTTGGGAGAGTGTGTTGAGGTTGTGTGGGCTGCATAGAAGAGCTATGTACTGGGAGGAGGAGCTCACTTGAGCATTACTTCACTTCAAGGGTAAGTCTCTACTTCTAACTATTCTCAAAATTGTTTGAAATGATCATAACTATTGTATTAAAGAAGAGAGAAATTATATACAGTTTCAGGGGTGTGCTCGTGTTGTTGTTGTCATTTTGTAATCTATTAAACTGGTGGTTCATATTAGGTTTAAGGGTAGGAAATTTAATAGGTTGGAATTTGTAAATGCTCGGCTCTGTAATGCGTGGGCTATTCCCTGGTCGTTCTTCTTTGTATTTTTATTGGATGTAACAGTTAAAATGTTTGTAATGGTAAGTATTTAAATAAGAAAAAATATATAATTTAGACAATTATTTTTATATTAAACCTATTATAGCATATATAATTAATTCTAGATCACACTCGGCTGTTGGGATTATAGTACAACAGTACTGATTTGGTGATTGCAAGACGAGCTATACCACTTTTGACCCCGTGATGCTGGGATTGTCGAAGCACAAGCTTTATTGCATGGTATTCAATTGGAGGATTGAACTGAACTTACCACGTTTAGTTATTAAGAGCGATGTCTCGAATGTGGTTCGCCAATTGGAGGATCCGTACACTAATCTATTGGTGCTTTTTTTTCACCCTTACCGAGGTTCACCGTCTGCTCGATTCTCTTCCACAGGCCTTCGCGCTATTCGATTCTATTACCGAGGGTCAACGTCGTATTACGATTATGATTATCCTCTTTGTATATTCGACGTTGTAACAGACGCTATTTTCGATTAATGAATACTACGTTAACTTTAAAAAAATAGTTGCTGTTAGAGCCTTTCATCCATTAGAAAAACAATCAATCGCAGGGAAAGGAGGAAACAAGTGAATCAAATGTCCAATTACTTGTACAGAACTTTAAAACCCTAAACATTTATTTAAGCACCCCTCCCTTTTTTACTATATATATAAAGTTTTTGCATTCACTTTGGTTCATATTTTTTTCCTGGGGAAGTCAATTCCCGAACCTCTAATTCTTGAAACTTGATGAATTTTCCTAGGCCTGTTTCTTGGCTCCCAAACAGAAGGTTCAACATGTCATAGAGGATCATGCAAGGTGCGTTCTTGACTTTACCCCATAGCTCTTTAATTGAATTTTCCTTCCCTTTCTTCCTCCTTAAGTTAATCACTGCATCAAACACAATCAGTATTAGTAATGTTAGAAAATCAGTATGTCCAAATGAATTGAGAGGGAAAGGTATTGTTAGTAGAAATAATCTGCAATTTTTCAAAGGTTGCAGTATTATACCTAGCTAAGATGGCTGCAATTTTAAGCTGTGGCAGTTCATGCATTATCGCATGATAGAGAAGCCTTTATCCTCTCAACGGTGCATGCAATCAAGTTGTTAACTGTTGCGATGGATCCGAGAGAGAGTTTCGCCGTCGGCACGGAGTCCACCAAAATCTGAAATGCAACCGTGAGAAGAGATCCACCAGACCCGCTGGCATCAGCGATGCCACCTTCGGTTCCGTCGGGGAATATTGCAAAACCGGAGGGAAGAAGAGCAACATAGTCCGGTTCCCCTCCATTTAGGACAACGTTCATTGCAGCAATGTCAACAGGAGCATAGATCACAAAAGAGGCTGTTGAATCAGTGCAACTCTCTTGCAAAATCAGCATGTTGCTCTGGCTTGAATTTGCACTCTACACAGATTTATTTTCATGTTACATACAACCAAACTAAAATCGGAATTCGATCGATCACAATATTCGTAAATGCAGTGCTTACATTTACTCGAAGTAGCGAAACACAATTGCCTGGATCCTGACCATTAGCAATGTGTGCCATTTCTTGGACTGCCCCTCCGTTAGAAAGAATATCCCACTGTGTTTAGGAGAAACCAAGTTGTAGGATCAATTAAACACTTGCAATACTTAAAAGGATCATGATCAATACATACCTCATTACGAGAATTCTCGTCTCTGAGGAAATCAAATACCCTCTTTGGTGAAACAGGAAGCCAAAAGGAAGTTGCAGCACTAAGAACAATCCCTGGAGGTCTACCTGGATCATCAATACTCTTTCGGGTCATCACCCTCACATCATCGTCCCCGGTTCCCGACAATGTCGTCCACGTGTGAGCCGTAGACGCACTCACTCCACCACAGAAACTAATTACCATTCGCTCAGCTAGCTTCAGCATACTCTTTCTTCCATCTTGATTTGTTATGACTAGTTAAACATCGTCCAAACATGAATTAAAGTTTAAATATCAGAACTTTGTATTTATTCCAATATATATAAAGCTAAAAGAGAAGTATTTTAATGTTATATACCCCCAACATCACCGGCGGGAATGTTAGAAGCCAAAACACTAGCAAGCCTCTCGCACTGTCGATCTAAAGTAGCCACCCAGCGTCTCGCTCCGAAAGCGTGGCCGGAGCTTACGAGCTGCTTGTACAGATTGTGAACGCCTCTATAATCCACTTCTACATGCTCAACCCAAGTAACCTACATTGCATAATGGTGGGGCTAGAATGATAGAGTAAAACACTATAAATCACACGAAAAATAGGGTTACCTTTGAGTAGCCATTGGGCATTTCTAGAATCAGGCAACCAGATGGTCTTCTTCTGCATCTGACAGTGGGACTAGGGCGTATAGTATCCAAGGAAACGTCAACCACAGCCCAAGTTCCCTCTGCAAGCTGTTTGCAGTATCTAGCATAATAACTCTCGCGAGTGGGTACAAGAGGTGTAGGAACTTGAAATTCAGCTGTCATCTGAGAATTTAAATAACACAAATTTAATAGCAAGTGATTTAACAATTCATCAACGTAAACATGAAGTTCCACATTACCACTTGAAGAGCTCCATTATAATTCCCTGCTACTCCTGTTGAGAGCACATCCAAAGTTGAAGCTTTCGAAACTATCCCAGAAAACACAGTTGACCACTGGTGCTGAATTTCAAAACAAATCCCAAAATTAAGTTTTTTTCTTGCTTACTTTCAGGATATATATATATACCGATGAATTGATGGTGATTACGAAAGCTTACCAAATCCATGAGAATCTCAACTAGGTTAATGTGGTTCATGATAACAACAGCAGTTTCTCTTGAAGCTTCGCATTTGAAACCAGTAGGTTTTGGCCCAAGTCCACTAGGAAAGGTTGTAATATACTCTTCTTCATTTAGCATACAGGTTGTGCCATCAAGACTGGCAATCCATAAAGGTTCATCCATTTGAGCCATTCTAACTAGTTCTTCCATAGCCGCCACCGCAAGCTCGATAATCATCGGCTTATCGGCCTCAGACGGTGCACTTATCGACCTAAGCAGATCACCAACACTATACATCTCCTCGGAGATAGGTTGCACACCGAAATCAAATGGTCGAGGAGGCACAGGAGAAGAAAGAAGAGGAAAGTTCCCCTTGCCAACATACTTTGCAGCTATTGCTGATATACGATCAATCTCATTGTTTTGAAAAAAAAAGAAGAAATAAAAACATTAGAAAACTATATAAACAAATACTATTAAAAGTTGTAAAAAAAATAACCGGATACCTCTTCCCTTAATCGAGCATTCTCAAGTCTGAGCTGATGTTCATCGAATGACATTTGTCCTACAGCAGTTGGACCTCCACAATTTGGGCACGATGCAGTGCTCAACGCTTCTCTAAACCTCATGTTGTCAGACCTTAGCTTTTCGTTCTCAGTCCGAAGCTGTGTGTTCTCATGGCGTTCATGCTGGGTCTGCAGATGAAAACATTGACGTTTAAAGCTAAGCAACCCATAGTTTATAACAGTCCATTGATCTGTTTAAGACCCTTAACTATAGGCAAATTTCAAGCAAATAACTTAAATTAAGGGCAAATGTCATGGTTTTTTTACATATATACCTTCATCTGGGTGCGCTTGTTTTGGAACCAGAATTTCACTTGCAATGGTTCTAACCCTAACTCACGCCCAAGCTCCTTCCTTTGCTTGTCGTCCGGGTGAGGACACTCTTTGAAAAAACTATAAACGAAGTACACAAATTTTCAAAAGAAAAAGTGAAGTTTTTTAGCTTATATTATTGTATAAAAAAGGGGTTTTTTAGCTTACGCCTCCATTTCTTGGATCTGGTGCTGTGTATGCCGATGGTAGCGCTTCTTTTTGTTGGGACGAGGATCATGATCATCTCCGGAGCCACCTAATTCGTGATTTTCGCTGCTGGATCTGTTCGTACTGCCGAATTCATCGTCCCTCATTCGAGCAAGTTCACTTTCCGATGTGTTCTGGGTCATCTCAAGAGGGTGAAGTTGACCTTCCATCATGTTGTTAGGCTGCTGGAACATTATCTACAGATCTTTAAGATTCCAAACCTTAAAGGTTTTTCAATCTAACACACATACATAATCAAAAACAAAAAGCCCCCACTCGAAAAACTATAAAAGCGAAGTCAATTTAAGCGTACGGATTTGTGTATGATAAGTAGACTAGAGTTATATGAGACAAACGTATGTTATGGCAGTAATTTGACTTAAGAAGAAGAATCAGGGGATCTAAATTTATGTATTTAAAAAAGGAAGAAAAGGGTTTACACGGTTCTCAAATATCGAGAACGATTTCGCTTTAAAATAACACATTTTCTCGAGTACCAAACAATAAGGGGGGGGGGGGAAGGAAAGAGATTTACAGTTTTTTTTTTTTTTTGGATAATTGAGATTTACAGTTTTATTTAGAGTGTAATGGAAAGAAATGGTAATATATAAGGAAATACACATTTCTGTTAAGGTAAAAGAAAAAAGAAAACGGGGAAGAAAATCTCAAGAGATTTGAAACTGCAGAGAGAAATATGGAGTTCTAACCTGACCAAGAGTAACGTTCCCGTTTCCGGTGATCATCGACGGCATGTTTCTTGCCGGAATCATTACTCCGGCTGGCATGTTTCAGAATCCCGATAGCTCTAACCAATTTTTGCACATATATCGATATATGTAATACAAGAATCTGGTTTCTGGTTTTTGTTTTAGCAGCTGAAAGGTTCCTTTAAGTGCCAATGTACGAGCAAGAGAGAAGCTATACAAGAATATTAAAAGAATCTGGGAAAAATAGATCTCTCAGAAAATATTATATCCAATGTTCCAACGAAGATCAAGGAGAATTCAACTATGCCTTCTTTGTCAGCCTCCAAACCAGGTTTCTTCCCTTTTCGTTTTCGGCTATGTCTGCATCATTTGAGAGTGAAAAATTACAAAACAGACTGAAACTCTCTACTAAAACATGGTTGCATATAAATTTTTGACCTAATAAAGAAGAACCCTAGAAAAGTCCCAGGGGATCTGTTTTGAGCCCTCGGTTACCTGTAACTAAAGGTTTCAGCGAAAACTGTAAAGCAGGCGGTTTAGGGTCTGAGCTTTAATGGTATATATTAAAGTAGGTTTAGAGGCTCTTGGTCTACAAACAAAGTAAGTAACATATAAAGAAGAAGAAGATGCGGAAGATTGAAGAAGAAGAAGGAGATGGATGATGAAAGAAGAGGGAGAAGATGAAGAAAACTGGGGCAGCCGAAGAGTTATTGCAAAGCATACTGAGAGGGTGCATTGCATTTAATGGAGGAGACGCTGTAAATGCTATTGCGAAAGAGATAGAGATAGAGATAGAGATAGAGAGAGAGAGAGAATTTTTGAGTATTTAAAAGATTAAATTTTTGCATTCAATTCAATCCCCATAGCTTTTTTCTGTGATGGTGCAACGAATGACGGCTACTAAAACCTCATGAATTTCTACTTTTCATCTCCTTTGCTATCTTTCTAGCACAGGATGATTGAATATTTATTGTCAAATAGTTAAAAGTATTTAGAATATGTATTACTTTACTAAATAATTGTATGATATCTTTTTCTCTTTTATTAATGTGGAATCAAAGATTGATAAAGATAGTCGCAAAATTTTATATGAGAATTTATATTAAAAATGTATGAGCATAAAATTAAATTAATAATAAAATGTAAAATAATATTTAAATTATATAAAAAATGGAAGTTTTTAGAAGATACGATCGACTTTTATATTTTGGTATACAAAAGTCAAGGTCAGGGTGACTCTTCCAGTCTAGGGCCAAAGCATACCTAAGACTCAATTGGGATTTACATAGGACTTTACAAATTGTCCACCAAGAGTGACGGTGGTGGGATTTGAACTTGACCTTATACGTTTAAATTCCTAAATCCCAACCACTTGTGTCGACACTCATTTACAGATACGATCACCTTTAATACTTATCGATTCATTTTTAAATGTTGATATCAAGATTTCCTTTTAAAAAAACATGGCATAGAATCCACAGCACGATTTTTTGGGGATCATGACATTGATTCATGCTGAAATATAATCTTCTTCAAAATTTTATTTATGTTCTAAGTTTTTGTATCTGTATGTATTAATCCCATAATCATATGTGCATCAGCTGCTGTTTATTCTGCAGTTAAACAATTTTTTTCTAATTTAAATGAGAAAACAACTTATATTTGACAAATAAGTTTAATCAAAAGGTGGGTTAACTTAGCCATAAGTTTTTATTAAATTACCATTTTAGCAATTTCTTTACGAAAATAATCAATTTGGGATTGCAATTTTTAGAAAACGATATAATATAATGAATTCATAGTTGATAACAATATTTGCATTGACCACGTCATTGTTGAGGTCAACCCAAGGTTTAATAATTCACATGTTGAGAAACGTTGAAAAGGTTTCGTTCACGAGAAAGATTAATAAATTTTGCCGTCGGTATAAGCTTTTTTTTTAGCTCTCAATTCATAAGGTTTTGTCTTAATTAATTCAGACCGATGCAGATCGTATATTTGATTTTGGTAGGTGAGTCTATTAACAAGAATATTCTACATGCATAAAGACTCGAACTGATCAAGACATATTTAAACGATATCAATTTACTTATCACTTGAATCAATCTCGTTAATAGTATAAACTTATTATTGAACATTACATATGATGGTCAAGAATAATTTTTTTGGTCATTTTACATTTCCTCCAAAATGAGAAAGAAGGGCGAAAAGGAAACTACTCCCATATGGAAATTAATTTACCATTAAATTTGTTTTTATTGATATTCCTTTCAATCAACCTTGAAGGTTATGAATGGATTTATAATTATACTTTATATGATTGAATTTGAATTTATATTTTTCAGTCACCTTTCATATATTTTTTCTTTTCTTGATCACTTTAGATTATTCATTTATGAGTTTTCATCATAGAATTTTTTTATTTAATTTAATTTTTATATTTAATGATTCATGATCTTCTCATAGACTAAATTTGGAGCTTCGAACCAGTTTTATACTTAATCAACCTTATGATTTTTGACTCAAAGAGTCATTTTATTTGAGGGATTTCTTGCATGTTCTTCTTGTCCTCTTTATTTCATATTTATTTATCATTTCTTTTTTTCTTCTTTTTTGTCCTTATTTCTTTTCTTTTTATACTTAATTGAAAAGACATGATTCCGACAATTGAAGAGTACATGGCTTTGTTCTATTAAAAAAAATATTTAGATCGATATGACCTGCACAAAACCATACAAGTCTCAATCATTTAAGAAAAAAAACTCATAAAATTAATCAAATGAACGAGCAATAAATTAATAATCGAATTAAACAGAAAGGGTAGTGAAGTTATTTCCTAATGTAGCCTCTTAGGATTAACCCAAACTCATCTTGATATCAAGAAAAAAAATAGACGTCTTCACTTTGGCCATTTATGGCTTGTTCATCTCCCGTAAGATCTTAGGGTATATAGAAGAATTTACAGTGGACTTCTTTGGTAAACTCATCAGAGAACTCAATAAAAAAATGTTTGAGAAAAAGTGTAACACCCCCTATCTGATCTAGTTGAAAATTGGGTCGAAGATGCTACCGAAAATTAAATTTAGATTGAATCGAAACAAGAAAAAAATATCATACATTCAAACGAATCCTTCAAACATTTACAAATAATTACAAGATCTCATTAAGTCAAACTTTGAAATCTATTATTAACATTCAGTTTCTAAATCAATTCTGCCACCCTATAATCGGACTCATTAGACCAATTTTCTATCTCTTATTTAGCTTATCTTCAATTTTATCTTAAATCAGATTTATCACTATATTTTCGCATCACTTATATTATCTTTACCACAACACTTTACTTATTAACTCACTTAAGATCAAATATGTTCATAATCATAGCTCATACACTCATCTCTTAATTAGTCATTTACTAAAGCTGAGAGACTAAATAATTATTTATTAGAAGTTGAAGGATTAAATTATATATTAAAAGGTCTAATAACTTTTCTTACCAATTGATTATAGGATAAGTTAAATTAGATATTTTAAGGGCTTATAAGTCATCTATCATGCATGAGGATTGACGTGCATTTTATATACTTCAAGAGACTTAAAAGATAAATTTTACGTTTTTTTAAGGTTTGGTATCGATATTGAACATTTAGTATGATTTGTACCGACTAATAGTATCTAAAATTAGTTTACGAATTTTAATTCAACAAGTAGTATCGATACTAAAAGTTTGATATTAAGATTAGATGTACCAAATTGGCAAAAACTCATTTAAAGATATAAAAAATCCTTTCTAAAGGCCTCTAACCTTGGCTAAACATCTCCTAACATGAATTATCATATAAAACTCAGTTAATCACATATCAAATAGCACCAAACATTCATTTTCCCCATAACCACAACAACAAAATTGTCAATTTATGACAAAATTTCTATATGACGTTACGTATATCGTCACAAAACATACTATAATGTGACGTTTTTTTTATTTTCTTCATATTTATTGATTAATGGTATATCTTTTATGACAATTTTAAAAATGGTCATTGATTTTTGTCACTATATGTTTTGCGCCAAAATCTTCCCACCAAATTTTTGGTGGGAAACCTTTTAATGACATTTAGATAAAATAATGACGTTGTAAAATCATCTCCGATGAAAAACATGTATTAGTGACGATTTATTATAATGACGATTCAATTTGAATTAGTGGCGTTGCACATTTGTCACTAATAAGTTTTATTGTTGACAATTTAATTTGTCATATTTTATAAGACACTAAAAGTGACATTTTATTATTGTCACAAAAGTGACAATTTAATTATTGCCATATTTGAAGTTAGCTTGCTTATTCTGTTTGGAGAAGCTTTACACGTGAACCCATTATTTTTTTAGTTTAGGAATTGCAACTTTTTTTAATAATAAAAAAATTCTTTAACATTCAATCCAAAACAATTCTTTAAAATATATTAAAAAAATTATTTAATATATGTTAAAAGACATTTTCTTTTAAAAATACATAGAAATAAATATATTTATCTAAATTATTTAAATTATTTTTAATAATTATTTAAATTGAATATTACTTATTTTTAATAACTATTTTAAATTATTTAAATTATTTTTAATTTATCTAAATTTTTTATATTTTTCTAATTTTTAATAATTATGTTTAGATATATTGGAGGTAATTTTTCAACTTCCCTCCAAATAAACAGTACAACAAAAATGTTTTTTAGCGACGTTTTTAGCGGTGTTTTGAGAGTAAACGCCACTAATTTTAAACATATAGCGGCGTTTACATTCTAAACACCATAAAATGGTAACTTTAGCGGCGTTTCTTTACAAATGCCGTAATAGGGTTCAACTATAGTGGCATTGTTTTGACAAATGCCGTAACAGAGAAGTACTTTAGCGGCATTTTTATACAAATGCCGTAATAGGTCCATCTATAGTGGCATTTTTTCAATAAACGCCGCAACAGATTAGTACTTTAGTGGTGTTTTTATATAAACGCTACAATAGGGTTCACCTATAGTGGCATTTTATAATAAACACCGCAACAAATTAGAACTTTAGCCATGTTTTTATACAAATGCCGTAATAGGGTTCACCTATAGTGGCATTTTGTCAATAAACACCACAACATATTAGAACTTTAGCGGCGTTTTTATACAAACATCGCAATAGTGTTTACCTATAGTTGCATTTTTTCAATAAACGCCGCAATTGTTTGAACTTATACGAAATGCTATAATAATTAAAGGAAAATATTATTAAATTATAGATTAATAACAAAAATGACATGAATTGAAGTAAAAATTATAATAATAATATTTAAAAAATATTATACGAAATTACTCGATGTGGATTGTATATAGAAAGTACAATATTACTTGTAAACAAAAACCCTTTTCGAGCCGATTCTTTTATGCTTTCTTCTTTTTTCCCTCAAACCCTAAACTATCAAGCTATCATATGTGCTATCAAATCTTAATCTTCCGTTCATCTCCCCGTTTGACTGCGGTGCTTGGTAAAAGTTTTTTTTGTTGGGTTTATGAGATTCCTTCAGTGTCTGAAGACTGTGAGCAACTAAGAAAAGCCTTTTCGAGTCTTTTCGCTTTCAATTTATTTTATCTCCCATTTTTTTATCGTATGTTTAATCTAACTATGTTAGATCTGAACATCTC